ACACCTAAATTGTTGAATTTCAAAAGTATTGGAAAAAACAAACAAAAAAAAAAACTAGTTTCTCTCAACAAAAATATCGAGAGAAACTTGTGGAAGAAAACCCAAAATGCTTAACCCAAGTTTCAGGTTCAAAGGTAGCACTACCAAATATACTAAGAAAATGAATGAAAACATCAGATGTTTAAGATGTTAATTAATAATTTCTGTCTCTCATCATCATGACATTTAGTAAATCGAAATAATTTTGATCATTCTAACTCATCTAAAACAAGACAGCACTTTAGTGAAATAAGTAAATGAAAACTTCAGGCTTGGCTTAGACTTGTGCACTAATTACTTGAGACTTGGACTTGAGTCTTTGTATCAGTTTTTTATCTCATCTAAGTAAAAGTGAAAGGAACCCAGTGTGAGCTACAGACTGCAGCTGCTGCTCATGTTTTACTGTGAAATGATCCGTTTGGCTATTAAACAGTGACGTTGGTGGATTATTATGGGATGTTAATGGCTTGCAGCAATCTGTTAACGTTAGCAGCAACTTCATAATAATGACCACAAGGATGAATCTCCAAATAAGCGCTGCATTAAGTGACTTTGGATCATTTTAGAACAAAATAAATGCAACGTCTGGCAGAAAATGTAAAAATAAAAGCACTTCCTGCTCCATTCTTTAACATTTAATGTGTACCTTAAGTTTGAATCTTTACTATTAAATGTTGATTTAGGATTTTTATTTTATTTTATGTTTTTAACCAATATAATCCAACGCTCTCCATCTCAGAGTGAAGAGAATAAAACCCTCGAAACCAGATTTAGTGCAATATATAATGGACAAAATCAAGACAAAGATACACAGATGCTAACTTAGTCTTTGCAAAGACAAAAATGCACTTTGACACATTCAGAAATTCAACATTAATGGAGTTACTTATGTTTCTAATAGGTAAATATAAGATTTTTAGCAGTTTTCTTCTTGGATGGATTATGGATAAGTTAATAAATCAGGAGAATTGTTCATCAGGATAATTTATTCCACTATTTGAATGCAAATAAATGACATCAAAATATTTACATTCTATGCAAAAATTGACTCAAACTTTTGAATAACGTGAAAATGCCGGTTAATATTGAATTGTCACAAACCATTTGAGTTTGTGACACCTCAAATGGTTTGCTTCTGTAGAGGAAAACTTCTCACTTGGAGTAAAGATGAATTCCTTAAAAATAAAGTTCAAAGGACAATTCTGATTGTTTCTTTAATTTTTTATTTTATTTTATTGAAGTTCTGTGTCCCACATGGAAAGTTATTATAATTAAATAATTAAGATTGAAGTGGCATAAAGATGGGACACATCAACTTGGGAAAACTGATCTCAGTTAATCCAAAATGAACATCTATAACCTTTTTCTGTCAAAAACCTGAATTCAAAAATATATCAAGTATCCTTTTAGGGTTGCAATGTTTCAAAGTGAGAAATATTATGTACCAGATGAAAAATGCATGAATACTAATGCATATTCTCAGAAGAAGCAAGTGCTCTAAAATATCTTCAAACTTGCAAGCCAACACAAAAACAGGAAGTTGAAATTTCAACTAGAGTCACATCTTTCTGAGAGACGCTGAGAAAAATGGCCACAGAGAAATGTAATAAAATACTTTAGGCTCACGTTTACCAACATTTTTTATTTCTTTTTTTTTTTGAAAACTTTATGATTTGTAGAGGCTGGTTTTGGTCTAAGGTGCTCCTTGGGCAATTTTGAAGATGCATTAGTTGCAAGAGTTTGACATGACTTCAAGAAAAATAATCCTAACAGCTGTTTGGACTTTTGAGATTAATTCTGACCAGTAAAAATCCTGAGCTATGAGCGTTGAACCCAACAGATACTCTAAAGTTTTGGGTTATTGTACTACTAATCTAGTTCAGACCTTTTAAAAAAAATGCCAATATAATACTTCTATAAAAATATCTACCTTTTGTCAGCAGTAATACTCACATTATCAGCACACTCCGTCGGGGTTGAAGTGCGCTATTTTCTTCCTTTTCTTCTTTTATCTTCTGCTTCAGTGACTCCGCTTGCTCTTTTCCAGCCCAGTTAAATTCTTCCAAAACACTTTCAAAAGTCATGTTTTAAACATAGATGTGCCAGATTTTTTTTTCTACCATATGTGGTAGAAAGAAGACAGATTAATGCACATCGTGATATCTTTCATCTCTGCTGTGAGAACTCGAATGATTTGCTTCTTCAGAGGAAAACTTCTCACGTGGAGTAAAGATGAACTCCATTATAATTCAGCTTATTTATATAATGTCATCTGCAGGCAGTAAAAAACAAAAAAAGATCTGCATGAAATTCACTTCAGTCCAGTTTCAATTCAAATTGATCTAATCATACAGGCAATGTTCTGGAGCTGTGCCGCTCCTGGAGGTTCTGATTGGTTCTTTTTGTAAACTTTTTTTTTCTCTCTTTTGGACAATTTTTCCTTCTGTTTTGGATTTTGGAAAGATTTTCACTTCTGCTTTTTTATTTTTGGACAGTTGTTATTTTGCATAAACCTGGCATCAAGTTACTGTCTTTACATCTGGGTGAAGCTGATTATTCGACTATTTCATTGACCATAATTGCCAGAAATTTTATCCCTACATCCTATATTTCTCTCTGCCTCCCTTACTAACCTTATGGCCAAAACAGTGTTATGTGTTGTCCAAACACATAGGGCCATTTTATACCATAACCAATTAACTATGTTAACTTAAGTTGTTATAAAAATGCTATATGTCAAATATGACTTAAAAGAAATTTTGCTTCCTAGTTTAATACCTTAAAATTGGGCCTCTCTCTTTAAAAACTCCTGCTTTTTCTGAAACTCCACCTTTAACATTTTCACTGAGAAGTAGCTTCTATAACGAGCTCAGCAGATGCTCAGCTCCACCAATTTACTAATTGCTGCTGGCTAGTCTGAAGGAGTTGAGTGGGCTGCAGCTCCAAGGAGGAGCTTCGTATTCGAAGGCGGAGCTAGGTCCACCCAGGTGTTACACACAACTGAATGGTTGCCACTGGAAATCGAAGCATTCCTCAAACATGCATGAAAGAGTCAGAAAGAATGTTTTTGATGAGGGAATAATATTATAGCTCAAAAAAGTAGATTTTACACAATGATGCCTCTTTTAATTCTATGGAAATGTCTAGTTTTTTTAAAGAAATAAATATAAACTCTCTTTAAAATGCACAAAAAAAGCAAATTAGTAACTTCAGACACTGCTAACTCACGGTACAAAGAGCATTTGAGGCGAAATCTTTCATAGGGAAGATGTAGACGAGGGAAAAAAATCAAATTGTTAGAGCTCGTGTCTGCAGAGTAACTGACAAACCCAGCACGGCTCAGCGCGGCGCGGTGCGGCACGACATGGCGTGGCGTAGCGGGCTCCAACGAGGGCTGCACCCACCTCGCGCTCCATCCTGTCTGAGCTCCACGCAATCAGGCCGTGACAGCGAAACCTTCCCCGGGTTACCATGGCAACCAGAGGCAGTGCCTGTATGGGACAAAGGCGGGTCGGTCCTATGAGTGTGTGTGTGTGTGTATGCGTGTGGAAGCCTGTGTGTGTGTGTGTGTGTGTGAGTGTGTGTGTGATTGAGAGACACAGAGAGAGTGAGTGATGTGCAGCAGAGCAGGCGCGGCCCTCCTGGGGTCCTCATTCGTTTGTCTCTCGCTGAGACCACAGGAGCCCCACTGCAGCAGAGATGGAGGTGGGGACGGAGGGGAGGCGGTGGGGCCGGGGGGGCCGAAGAAAGGCAACTGATGTGGAAAGAAAGGAAGGATGAAAAGATGTGAGAAAGGTGCCAGAAGAAAGAATGAGAAATTGAAAAAGAATGGCGTGAATTTGGATCGTTTGAAGCCTTTTGTTCGTTTCACTCATCTAACGGTCGTGTGCGGAGTGTGACATGAATCTTGACAAAACTCTTATTTGAGAGGGGGAAAAAAAAAAAAAAGCGGTACACTTTGGCAAATTAATTGCACCAATTAGCGGGGCACTCAAAATTCAAAAATTTTAATAACCTGTCTACCACATAGTAGGCTCAAATGGCTCGAAACGGCACTACTTCTCTCATGGCTCCGTGGAAACGCAATAACATGACAAGTGCACTTAGGCATTACCGAATGAACAAAACAGGAAAAAATTAGGCATGGATCTCATAAACATTATCTCCAGCTTTCAGTAGATTTTGATTCCTCCACACAGAGGAAAGAGGCTGCACAGGCAGAGTGAATCAGCTGACACCAAACCGTGTCATCCTGCTTAATTAATCTTTGCTTTAATTCTTGACCAGATTGTTCCACCGTAGACATTTGGGACAAAAAAAAAGTTTTTATTTCTCACTGGATTGTAACTCCATGCTGTCGCTTATGCTGACCAACGCACAAAAAATTGCCGTATTTTTTAATTCACTGTTGTTAAAGAACTGAACGTAAAAAGAATCACTTCCACTTTCTCATCCTGTTCTTTGTGGACAATAATATTCATCCTGCTTATTTACTGTTTGAAAAACTTTTTCAAGTTTCTTTTCATACTGAGATATATATAGTTTTTTTCCCTTATTTTTTTCCTACCTGCACCACTAACACATTTATGTATTTGTAAGTATTTTTAGTCACTCTTATAGTTTTTCAGTATTCTTTCTGTGTACTCCGGTAGCCAAGCAACGGCATTTCGTTGCCAAATTCCCTAACATGTCTTTGTGTGGTAACAATAAAGCAAGACTAAGTCTATATTTATTGGTGTAACAAAAGGTTTTACTGAATTGAAATATTTAAAGACACGGTACACATGTTTTCAGACACGTTAGTGATTTTGTCTCACTGATGTGTCGGTGTTGTTTTAAAAATACCAGAAATATTATAATGTACTAGAACAAGAAAAGGCAGAAAGTAAATCGCATTGATAAGTTAATCTAGTCTAACAAAAATTTTGTTTTCTAATATATTGTTTTCTTTATCTTTTTAGGTGTGGATCACACAAACAAGGACCTGAGGAAAAACTTTGTGAGTAAACCAAACATCAGTTTCATGTAAATGAGACGTAATTACACCACAAACAAATAAGATGACTGAAAAACAGCACAATACGGGTGCATACTCCCTCAAGTGATGCTTGAATGTAAGTCATTTTATTCAAGAGGAAAACTCGTTTTGTAGCTTCAAGCCGTATATTGCCCTGGCATAATTCTGTCTGGATATTTGACCTTTCATTTTTATCACAAATGAGTTTAAACGAGTTGGTTTCCTGGCACTGACCTGGCCGCTCAGCAAAGTGTGTTCATTTTAAATAGAGTAGAGGTCCAGGCCATTCCACAAGCTTAATTTTAGACTACTTTGTCCATTTTAGAGCCAATTTTAATGTGTAAAGTCCACTGTCTTGTTGGAACATCAGACCGTCTCAAACCATCTGACACAAATTTGCACCTCAGATCAAAGGAATGGATGTTGAAAAGCACAAAGAAAAGCTAAGAAAAGAAACAAAAAGTTGAAAACTAACAAGGATTTCAATGTTTTACAGTGAAACAAGACAATGAGCAAGTAGAGTCCAAATAAAGCTTTCAGACTTAAGAATACTGTACCAGCTGTCTAGCACAGTGGTAGAAGCATCATGCTGAGGGTTTATTTAGCTGTTAGTTGTAAAGTAAGGGGAGTAATTATTATTAACCTGGCATGTTAGACAAAGTAAACAAATTAAGTTTGGCAAACTTGATTTGATTACTTGTAAAAGATTAACTCAGTTTTTTATGTTGGAGCTCCATTCTCTTTTTTCAGTGCGACTTTGGCTAAAAGTGAATAAGAATCAACTAATGCTGTTAAATATAGATACAAACGCAGCTTTTAGCTATTTTTCAGGCTTTTTATGTAATAATTTCAGACAGTTTGCACAGTACACTTACTTTTCTTGCCGTTATGGGAAACTATATACAATTTTCCACTGTCAATATCCCATAAAATGAAACAAAACCCTCCTCTATTTGCAAAAATTTTATGCATGGGCTTATTTTAACACCTGAAAACAGAAATAAAATTGTAGTTCTTTAAAAACAACAACAAATTTCCTGCTGATGTTCATCAAAACATGCAAGTTGTCTTTTTTTTTTTTAAAGATCCTGTAAACTCAAAACATGTTTTATTTCACTAGACTGAGAGCAGCAACATGCCTGCCTGCAGTGTGAAGGCTGCAAACCTTTGACCCCGACATTAAAACCATCACCGCCTCACAGAGACGTGAAGCTGTTAGCCTGACGTTCTTCTGGCTTGCCGTAGAGCGTTTGTGTCGCGCAGCGCCGCTTGCTGCTGCCTTGTCATTTATAATCTCGCAGGCAGTTGGAAGCATGCAGGCCAACTTGTACTTTGTCAGAGCAGATTGTCTGGCATGGATAAGCCTGGTTGCAGCAAGAGATACATAATTGCTCTTGTTCGGTGAGCTGCCAGGACGTTCCTCCTCTTCCTCCCGTTGAGCCTATACCCAGATCCTCGACTGTGCTCACTTTCGTAAGGCAGAACGCATATGAACTGCACCGGCAGTGACAGCGACTGCCGTCAGTCAAAGGAAATATGTTGACAGACTAACACAAGTGAGAGTATCCAGAGTTTTTGGGGGTTTTTTTCTGAGAGATTCCTTCATTTCCTGTCTTGTCATTCTGATGTTTTGTGTCAAGAGCTGTTGGGTCCTGCACCGAGCTTCATTTGTTTTCTCTGTTGCTTCTGCAGGAGGCCCTCGCCAGCTTTGACCTGCGGGCCTCGCACGGTCTGTCTCATGATCCCATGCCTGTCAGAGATGAGGAGAACAGGTAGTGATTGTTGTTCTTATGTTCCTTTTTTTTAATTGTTATTATTATTATTCTGGACTCAAATTCAGCTGTAGCCATCTTAAAAGCAAAAAGTCACTTTTGGCAAAAATAATGACTTGGAAATGTTTTCAGATGGTGACCACATGTAACTGCAGAGCTGTACTTTAATGTATTTTATGTGGATAAGTGTGAATTTGACGAGTGGCAGAAAAGATAATGCGCGGTTTTACACATCAGTTTACTAATTTCCCCATGAGTCACTAGATGTTGAAACTGTCTTTTGTAGCCACAGTTATGTCTAGTTTTTCAAATCTGTCGACTAAAACATTAAAGTTTTGCCACATTCTCAGTTAGATTTAGGTCTGGACTTTGACTGGGACATACTTTTAACAGTATGTACTTTGATCTAAGCCGTCCCACTGCAGCTCTGGTTGAATATGTTTACGATAGGGAAGCACTGATTGCATTTTTCTGGTCGATCACCGATCCTTAAAAAGCCTGATCTGCCGATTCAGATTTTTTTTTGATACTTTTTTTGTTTTGTTTTTCTCTGGAAAGTTGTTAAAAATATTGACAAAGTTGCTGAGTTGGCAGCAGTGGGGTAGCTGCTAACATACTCTGTTCTTTGTGTTGGTCCATCCCATAAAATCCCCTCAAATAAACGAAGAATATTGTAACAAGAATATGATAAAAAGTGAGAGAAGCTCAAAGTGCGAGGCACTGTATCTATTTAACACATTTGATCAATTTATGAAACATTGCTTGTATTTTAAGACCAGCGGAAATCTTTTTTTTTCTCTCTCTCTTTCTCTGATCAAGAAGAAATTCCCAGTATCCTCGTCTTCTCTTTTGATCTGAACCAATCAACATGTACCCGTGCGTAATTATTTGTTCTGGCACGGTTACCATGCATGCTCAGATCAGAACATCCAATAAAGGAGAAAAGTCTCATCTCTGCCTATTTAGTCTCAGTGTGTGGCTAACATCTCATTCCCGCTCTGTTTCAGTCACGGTACGCATTGTGCCGGCGAAGTTGCTATGGAGGCCAACAACTCCTACTGCGGTGTGGGCATCGCCTTCAATGCCAGGATAGGAGGTGAGGAAAGCGGTCCAGCTTTAGGAGACAATGGGAGGCAGTTTGACTGTGGGTGCAGCGCTCCAGCCAAGAATGCAACATGGGAGCTGAGTCTTTGTCAGAAATACTTGTTATGTTCCAGAGTCACTCTGTTATTATTGCTGGTATGACTTGGCAATGCAGCGAAAGTTAAAAAAAAAAAAAAAAAAAAAAAAAATATATATATATATATATATATATATATATATATATATATATATATATATATATATATATATATATATATACATACAAAATATACCTGCAACTCTTTGCCTCTGCTAATGTTTTAACAGTTTTCCATGAAATAATTGCATTGAGACTAAAAGTACCAGAAACACATTTTCACACAGCAAAAACACAAAATCTTCCTGGTTTCTAGTGTAAATATCTTGATACAGTTGAAATAAAACAAAATTATCTTTAAAAGTAGCTTTTCAGCAAGATATAGAGGCTTGCTTTAAGTAATTAATTCCTTAATATTGATGAGAAATTATTGGTTCTATTGGCAGACAAATTGGGAAAAATGTCTTGTTGTACGTTTAAAGGATCTGCCAATTGAACTAGAACTTTTTCATCAATATTAAGAAATTATTTACTTTAAACAAGCCTCTAAATCTTGCTGAAATTTACTTGTAAGTTGGTTTTGTCTTATTTCAAGTTTGCTTACATTTGCACTTGAAACTAGACAAAAAATACTTGGTAAGATTTTGTGTTTTTGCAATGCAAACTAATGACAAAACAAAATAAAACGCATATGAAACCAGATATTTAAACACACTGAATAAAAAAGACACATAAACATTTTTTCTCACTGTCTGAACTTCAATGAGACCAAACTTTTTTTGTGTGTGTTTTAGGTTAGTGAGAGTGACCAAAATGATTTCTATTTGTTAAATGTCATAAAACTTAGCGATGATGTTTTTTTTTTTATAGATTTTTTTTTACCTTTCCTAAAATTAAAAAAATCATACAGTTGGTCAGTATGAGGGATTGCTGTTTTTTTAAATAGATAAAGGGTCATAAAAGTAACAAAAGAATCTCTGACAGATGTTCTTGCTAAGTCTTCTGGTGTTTATCAGATAGAAGTAATTTTTTTAATTAACAAAAGAAGATTGTACTGCTTTAACTTCAGACGGTCAGAAAAATGTCTTTTTATTTGTTTTATTTTTTTTTCTTTGTTTTGTAATTAGTTTGGATGGAAATGTGCCTTTCCTCAAACATAATTTTCTACATATACATATATCAACACCCTTCAGAAGAAAATGTTTCTATCCTATTTTTCCACAAAAGTTTAATGTTTTTTTTTTTGGGTGTAAATCTTAAAAATAATAATAAATAAATAAATAAATAAATAAATAAATAAATAAATAAAAATGTCTCTTTAATAACCACACATTTATTTTAGTCACTATTGAACCATTCAGCCAGAGCAGGAGAAAACTATAAATCATTTGCAACTTGCCATTTTTAAAAAATAAAATGTAAATAAAAACTTTTAAATTATTTTCTCAAAACTGATATTCCCTCCACTCCGTTTTATTATCATTTGACCTATGCCTATTTTTATTTTTATTTTTATTTTTTATCAAAAACAAAGTTCTTTCTTGTTGGAAAGGTTTTTCTTTTATTGTTTATAGTTTTTGATATCTGTAGTTTTTCCTGATACACATGTGATCTATATTTGTATGTCTGATATGCATCCATTTGATAGACAATAAGTCTTCAGTTTACTGATGCATCCTGTCTCCAGGTACGCCCTCACATCTCACACCTCTAATCAAATTTATCACAGTCAGTCTAAGAGCATGAAAATAGAAAACAAGATGCATCCTTCAGCTGAACTCTGACATTTGAACTCTGAGCTCAGGGTCTTTTATCCGTGCGCTTCAATCATTTGGCCCAGAAAGCATTTTTACAGAACTCAGGGGGATAAGAAGGGAAACACTTCATGAGGCGAGACCAGGAATATGTTTTCACAGTTAGTCTTGGTTTTGCTTTGTTGGGTCATAAACAGAGTCTGGCGCTGAGGAGATGAAGGGCATGAAAGAGGCGCTGCTGAGAGCGGGAGCCATGTTGTCTGACATTCAACAAAGTTTGTCACTCATTGTGAAACTGCTCAGAATTATATTGTACAGACCTACAAAATAAAGGTTTTTAGTTGTTTTACTGAGTATGGTGTCTATGAGGACAAACAATTCTGTTTCTGCCACACATGTTTTTTTGTCTTTATAGTTTAGATGTGACTTTTTGTTTGTCTGATTCAGTTTTACTTAGTTTTTACAGTGTATTTGATAGTTTTTATTAGTTAAATATTGTTTGGTTCCAGTTTCATTTGAATTAGTTATAGTAGTAGTTTTAGTTGGGGTTTTTTTATATACTCTTGTTAATTTTTAGGTACAAAATTCAAAAAGGTAAAAAAGGTTGTGATTATGTGTACATTACACAACAGAAGATACAATTTTCAAAAAGTATGTTCAGTTATTGTTGAACAACCAAGTGACTGGTGTTTTATTCCAGCTGCCATTTTGCAGACTAGTGTGAACGCAGCCAGGAGGAGGATGGAGAGGTGAAATGTGCCAAAAGCTGATGTAAACTCCTTGTGTGGGGAAGAAAAAAATCTATTTCACATCAGTTCAAAAGACTAATAAATAGATTGTGGTGTTGCATGCAAAAATGGCACCAACTGCCTTTATAATTCAAAAGCGATCTCCCCTTCAGTGCCTGTACTTCCTCCACTTCCATCCGCAGTCCATCTCGGTTCCATCTTCAGCCTCTAATTGGACGGACGCTGTGCCAGCCACAGTTTCTCAGGGAACATCTTGCTGTTTAAATACGGCGAAAGGAGCCAAACTGTTGCTAAATAATGCACATCTGACTTGATTTTACTATTGTAGGTTCTAAAGTCAGCTGCTGAAATCAGCTCACAGAGAAATATCATAACATTTCATCTGCTTCATTATTTGTGCCCGGACTCAGTCTTTTCAAAACACATGAATATGAATTGCGCATCAACTCTTTTATTTGGATTTAATTTGATCGCAAGGAACGTTTTGTTCAGGAGCCTGGACCGGCGTTGTCATCCACTTATTTCAGATTACAACAGTGGATTGTTGCTCTGCGTCCTGAGGGTTCGTAATAATGCTGCAGCTAATCATCTTGTGGTAGTAAACGACGGGGATTCTTGTACTGAAACAGTGGAAAGTTTGATTTTTTTTTTTTTTTGTATTTTGCTTTCTTCCATCAAAATCCTGATCTGTGTGACTGCTTCTGATTGGTCCAGGTATCCGTCTGCTGGATGGCGTCGTCACGGACGCCATGGAGGCCTCGGCTCTGACCTACAACATGCACTTCATCGACATCTACGTCTGCAGCTGGGGCCCGCGGGACAACGGGGAAGAGATGGACGGGCCGCACCGCCTCACGGAGCGAGCCCTCCGGCTAGGAACTCAGAAGGCGAGGCTTTTGTTTCCCGAGTTTCCTCCACTTATTGGCCTGCTACACCGAAAGCTCACAAAATGAGGAGCGATTACATTCCACGGCCTTTCTTTGCTTTATCTGTTACAACTTTACACATTTTTTTTTTTTTAAAGCAAGTGGTAAATTCTAGGGAAATTAAAACCACTTTGCCGCTTTTAGTAAGAAATCACAAAACAAGCAAAAGAACCTAAATCAATATATAAATGTCTCTTTGTTCTTCCCTTTCTCCCCCAAAGGAAAAACTGAATGAGTTGAATAACGGAGTTCAATAAAAACTCTCCCCTTGTCAAGGCAGATGTCGCATAAAAAGAGCAGAGTTCAGATTTATGTTTATATTTTCCTGTAAGGACCGACTGCCTGCAGCAAGCCAACATGCTTCAGCTGAAAACCGGCAGTGAGACCCGATTAAAATTTTTAATGGAGCTAAATGCGAGGTCTGTTATTAATTGAGTGTACTTAATCACATTTTAATTGAAAACCAGTCATTGACAAAATAAACATTTTCCGTTCAAAAACTCTTTTTGCTGCTAATTTATTGAATAAATAAACTTAAGAGCTCAGAAACAAAGCTATTTATTGACTTCATTTTGTTATTTAGTGCAAAACGCCATTTGGCTTTTAGATGTTTCAGAAAGTAATTTCTTTGAAAAAAATCCTTCTTTAGAAATGTGGACTGCGGACGCTGATGTTAGCTTGGGGGACGACTGTGCTGCTGCAACATGTTTAGCATTTAGATGCAATGAATGCTGAAGCTATGTTTTTTTTTTTTTTTACCATAACAAAATTGACTTGTTTGTGTCTATGCAGCCTCTTACACAACACCTGTGATGCACTGTGTGTTTACTGAAGCAGCATTAGCCACTGCAGACCGGTATTATGTATCCTGTAGTTTTCGGGTCTTTCCCCAGAAAACTTGCTAAGCCCCTTGGCAAGGACACTACGGTGGTCATCTACTGTGTTTTAGAGTTAAATGTTTAAAGTTGATAGGAAATGTGAAAATTCTAACTAGGTAAGTATGTTGTTATTGGAGGACATTATTAACAATACCTAAACACCAACTGTAAAGTCTTGTAAAAAGGCTAAAATGAAAAAAAAAAGTCAAAAATTCTTTGATCCTTTTTCATGACCTGTCACTTTATTTGCAAAAGTTGTTAGTGTGCAGACAGACAGTGGGTGTGGAGTTCTCGTAATTAAAAGATGACACCTGACCTCAGGCTGCCTTTGTGTTCTCATGCTGACCATTAAGTTGCTTTTCCAACCATAAAGAGACAATTTAGCCCATCTTTGCTATCGTAATTTCTGGTGTACAAACATAATAAATGCTAAGCCTGGTAGGGAGGGCAAGTAAAGCCTGGCGGCCAGCCAGGTTTATGATACACTTGTAAAAACCGATGCTGTGACGAAGCTGCCTGGCAATCACATCGTTGAACTCGCTCAAATTCCTTTGCTTTTCTTTTTTTCTGGCTGCTAGCGCATTGACTTGTAGGACAAAATGATCGCATCCTTTAAGTTTGGTGTATCGATATGATGTACTATATCAACAAAAAAGAAAAGGCGTCTTATCAAAACAAAACCACTCTTGCGTTTTAATGTGGAAAAGAGTTCTCTACTTTTTGATGCGTTTAAAGAAAGAGACCTGCTAATGGATGAACAGGGTGACAAACGGACGGATGCTTAACCAAGTCAACATTTTCTTTCCTTCAGGGCCGACGTGGGAAGGGCAGCATCTATGTGTGGGCGGCAGGTAATGGTGGAACGCAGCGTGACCACTGCGGCGCAGACGGGTACGTTAACTCCGTCTACACCATCGCCATCGGAGCCATCACCCAGACCGGGAAGCCCGCCTACTTCGGTGAACCCTGCCCCGGAGTGATGGCCGTCACCTTGACGGGTTCCAACGTGGGAGACTCGCTACCTTTGGTTAGTGTGTCAATACCTTCTAATACGTCTAACAGCACTGTCTGGCTCTAATGACTGTATGCGTGTGTGTGTGTGTGTGCGTGTGTGTGAGAACCAGCAGCGTGACTTTTAGGCTGCTCTGAGCAGAGAGAATCCTGTTAAAGAGCAGCCACTGGTGTGATATTTATCGAGGCCTGCCAAATGACCTGGGTGATTGCCGGGCAAACTCTCGAAGACATACAGAAACGAGTGTTAATTGGAGGTAAAGCGTGGCTGTGGTGGCTGAGAATGGGAGAGGAAGGAGCTGAAGTGTTGATGGCGGATGTAACACAGAAAAAAAACCCACGAGAAAATGTCTCGCCGGCTCCAGGACTGGAGAAACTGAAAGGCCAATTTTATCACTGCGTTAACACTTTGCTCTGGTGGGATGTATGCACTTTTTGAACTCCTCATTTGGACGGAGGTGGATATGATAAGTTTTTTTTTTTTTTTTTTATTAACGTGAGGAGAAAATTGTTTTACATTTGCTACTGAAAGAGGAAAGGATCACAAACAATAGCTGCCATTCCATTACAAATGTGCGCAAATCTTTTGTCTAAATTCTGCTAATGTCAAAAAAAAAGAGAAAACACCAATATGGACTTGCAGTGTTTCCGTTAATTAAGAAATGAAACTAAAATCACATGTGAATAAAATTGTTGACACGATAAGTCATAAAAATCAGCCATCAGAGGAGACGCTGGCATCTTATTCAGGCGCTGGAGCGACAAGCTTCTTATACCTGGCGGCGGGTGCGAATGCGGCATTTTGGGTAAATTATAGTTGGCAATTTTATATAAGAGTTATGGATTCAATACGTTAGAATAACACACAACTTTTTATGAGCTTTGAGATGCTGGAGCCAGCTCACTGAAAGAGCCTGAAACAAACCATCGTCCTCCTGCTGCTTCCTGTCATTTTCTTTGTCATTTCGCCAGAGACCAACAGCCGACTGTTGATCAAGTGATGCGAAAAAAGTGTTTCTATTGAAGTTTTGTGAAATGCATCTATTTCAATAGATGAAAAACCATCTCATCCTAGTGCAAAAACGTTTCATCAATAAGTTTTCTTATTATCAAAAGCTGAGTTCTTTTGAAAATTGGCCTGTTTAAATTAAGCAGATTTGTCTTTGTAATTTCAATTTGCACTATTTTTATGGTTAATGGAAACTTTACTCTATGGGAACTCTCTCTATAAAGAGTGTAAATCCTGTAAAAAAAGCCATATATGTAACAGTTTGGATTAGTAAATTCATGCCATGTTGGCATGTTGGAAATGATCTAGTTCCTGGGTGTCTCTTACTTTAGTAAGTGTAGAGTATCTTTTTCTGCTCTAACCACTGTGAATAACTTCACAAAATAAAGATGTTTTGACTGATAATGCACCAGATCCCTGGCAGTAGATAGAAGAATGGGATGTGGTATCCTGACCCGTTTCTGTTTTGTTTTCCATAAGGTGACTGTGACCAACACTGGAGATGGGTGTGTCATGCACTTCCCAGGAACCTCCAGTGCCGCTCCGATTGCTGCAGGGATTCTAGCTCTTGCTTTGGAAGTGAAGTAAGTGTCAGTCAGTCTTCTGATACTGCACACCAATAGTAACATGATGAAGTAAACAGGCAGGGATTGAAGCAGGCTAAGACGGATCGTACTCAAGTGTCCTCTACTAGGTCTTTCTCAGATATATGGGTATTTGTCTGCACAACTCTTTTGCATTTCACTGCTGTTCTGCACCCAGAAACACCAAAAATATGCATATTATTAGTCATTCATTGAGCTAATTCCTAAATTAAGTGGTAAAAAAAACGGTAATGGCCTGACACCAAAGCGCTTTGCAAAGAAAATGTGTCTTGTGTCTTATAAAATTACGTTTCTCTTTTTTTTTTTCTTAACTGTAAGATTGAGACTGATTTTCTTTTTGCTAATTAAACCAGTAAATATAGAAGATAAAAACATGTACAAAACAAAAAAAAAAGATAAACATTTTTTATAGTATATGATAAGCACTTTCTTAGATTTTTTTTAATATTGTTTATTTCCTTTTAACTCTTCTTCCAGTTTCTTTTTAAAGTCTGTTCGGCTGTGATCACAGTTTGCCCACATGAAATAATTCTAGATTTTGCTTTTTTTTTTTTCTTGGGATTTGGTTTGATGCATTGTATAGAAACAAAAAAAGAAATACTTGTTTGCAGGAAGGACAGTGTAAATAACTTCACAGAATTTCACCATCAAAACTTCACCATAGACAAAAACAAACCGAAAAGTCATCAACTTTTCTTCTTCCTTGCATGTCTCTCACTTTTTGTGCATTTGTTCTGCATTTTTGTGAAACACACATATCTCACAGTCACATAAGCAGTCTGAACTTATGTCCATCTCCACATATTCATACATGTATGTTCATAAGTCTCAATGAAATTATTACGTGAGATGAAACACTAATGGACTTTAGTTCATATCATGCCCCGGTCAGTTAAATCCAGATAAGTTATATATATTATTTTTGAAAAGTTCATAAATCTTCTGTTTGATGTTGTATTAATTGTTGTGTTACACTAGATGTCACATGTCTTGTGACATAAATGTACGTTAAGATGTATAATTGCTCAAATTTGGTGAGAAGATGTAGATGAGGGAAATCTATAATAAGGCTCTATTTCACATTACAGTATTCAGTCTAGTCCAAGCTGAGTGAACTCTGTATCTTCCATGAACCTCTTTAGTTTTCTGTCATAGTCGATATCCTTGAGCTGTTAGGTTGTCTTCCATCCTTCCCTCCTGAAATGGATTCATACTTTATTGCCTTTAAGTAAAAATCTTCTAATTTATGCTGAAACATTAATCAGAGACTTAAAGCTCCAGCACCGATTTACCTTTCAACATCGACAATGTCAAAGCCGAGTCGTCATTCGGAGGTATGTGACTTAAATGTTGTGTTACAGCAGCCTCAGCAGATCCTTTCCAACTCGTAGGAGTTTTAGCAGTTTTTGCCGTGAGACACGGGCAAAAATCCCAGTGTCTTGGTTTGCCAAACTCAGAGATATACTCTCAAGAGATTTGTGGCTTAATTAATTGCTGTAAAAGTGGGCTCCACCAAATGCTGGTGGCGGGGTGGCAGAGCAGGGTAACGCTCCAGGGCTCAGTCAGTCAGTCAGTCAGTCAGTCAGTCAGTCAGTCAGTCTGGTTTCTTTCTACTCTCTCTGATATCTTTAACGCCCATAAAGTTGACAACATGCTGCATTGATTAAATTATGAGAAAATTATCTTTTTTTTTCTTTAGGAGACAAAGAAAACCATGAGAAGAGCATTCGAAATATGTCTTACCTTTTCCAGCTGTGATGCAGTCAGCGGTTATATGAAGCAGGAGTAGAGGTGACGTCACACTGTGTGCGGAAAAGAGCTGAGCTGCTAGGTTAAAAGAAGCACAAAATGACATACTGTTTTAGTCTTAGTCAAAGATTCAATCAGTGATTATCTCAATTAGTACACCAAAAATACTCTCTCATAATGTCTCCTAGGAAAAGGCTTTGCATTTCCTAGACTAGAATATGTACCCAGAATTATTCAAACATTTGTCATATTTAGGGGTGCTGTTGTGGCTCAGGGGTTAAGCACAAATTATTTTACAAACATACTTTGACTGACCTCATCAGGTGACTTGACGAAGCAGCTCATTGAACATTAATCAAATTTTCAAACATTTACAAGATCTAGGAAGCATCTTTGATGCTGTCTTGTGCCATAATCTCACCCAAAAAACGAGAGAGGTTTGACGAGTCGCTGAAGATTTGGTAAACTGAATTGCTATCAGGCTGAACTAACGCAAGTCAACAAAGGGACAATATCAGCTAACATAATGCCATATCCCTCCCAATTTCAGTTTGAATTGCTTTAAATTGCTAGAGTTAGCTGCTGTTTATTGATTAGTTTGCTAGCCTCCTTATCTTAACCTTGAGATTTTCAAAAAGTTGCCAACATTTGTAAAACTATCATGTTTAACAACAGACAGGTTCAAAGCTCAAAAAGAAAAACAGCAATAACTGCTTTATTATGTTTAGTCTTGATGGTACATGCTAAAAGTGAAACTCTCCCTCACTATCTCACAACCTGTATAAACTGCAGATGTGCACTGATATGACAGAAAATGTACATTCCTTTATTAAATAACCTTTTACACCTTTTGTGTTTTCTCAGAAATGACCGTAAACACACCAGTGATACTGAAAATATCAGTTTATCTCCAATAAATACTTTTTGAATTCTCTCTTTTTGATCTATGCACACCTCTTAACCTAAAATGTATTGTTTTCCATTAATTTTTTTTGTCGACATTCACTCCTCTGTCTTCCTTCTCCTTTGTCCTGTGTGCCTCTCCCTGCCTTGTCCCGAGTCTTTTTCTCAATGCTCTCAACGCGGCAGCTGCTGGTGTGACCTCAGGCCCGGTGTTTTGTGGCCGTATCAGTGGTATCTGCGCCACCTTCACAATATGGATTGTACTAGAGGCCAGCTTTACTGCTCCAGCTGTCATGCTGCAGTGTTCTCAGTCTCAGTTACTTGGCTGTAAAATGGAGTGTGGGTCCCCTGGGCGAGGCGACTCCCAAGACATTACTGTTAAAGGCTTTGTCATGACCTGCTGCCACTGACTAAACTATATATCACCTCTCTTGCTCAAACCAGCTGGATTCTGCTCACGTCTTTATAGGTCTGAGTTCTCTCTCTCTCTCTCTCTCTATCTCTCTCTCTCTGTCTCTCTCTCTTCGTATATATCTGTACGGCTTTCAGGCTATTCTGTTTCTCATTCTTTCTCGCTTTTTCTCTCATATGTTACAGAAACACGCTCAATCTTGCATTCAATCATACTTTCATACAGCAGACCTGGATGTTTCTTTTCTTATCCACATTTATCAGAAACAACCTAAATTGTGTGACACGACCAGCCACTTGAGCTAGTAATGTCCAAACTTTTTGTCATGTGGGTAAAAGTCAATCTGAGTGTTCGCAGGTACATAAATTGAACCTTTTTTTTTAATCATTTAGAAGGTAAAATAAAAATGTATGTTAGTGTTATTGTTATATTATTTTCCATTTCCTCTAGGGGCCTGTAAATCACCTTCTTAGAAGAAAATTTTATAGATTTTTGTGAGTTGATACTTTTCTGTTCTCTTGGTCTAGCTAGAACATTTTTTCAGTCTAGAATCAGTAGTGAGGATATGAGCCAGCCTTCCCATTTATAATGAAAGCAAAAACACAAACAAACAAACAAAAATGTTCATGTTGAGTAATTAATTGCATAGTTTTTAAAATGTTAAAAACCACACACACCCTTCTCCTCTTTTTACATACAAAGTCCTGAGACGGAACTCTTGTATTCGAGTGTTTCTTGTACACCTGTAAATCTGACACACAAGCGACGTCGACAACAGCGATAGACGACAGAGCTGCTTCTTTTGGCCCACTGAGGGTTAATATTTGCTTCAAAAAAACCTGATGGGACGCTGGAGAAAAATAAAACAAAAGACTACTGTTGTGTTCATGTGTAAAAATGAGTTAGCCTATCAGCAAAGCTAATACTGTCCCAATTCAAAATTTTGCAGCTAGCACAGATGTCCCAAATGCTAGCGTTAGCATTCACAGTTCACATTTCCTGTTACCACTGGTTTGAATTCTAATAGCATAAAGACAATTCCTTCCATTGACTTAGATTCTCTATAGATGCTCTGCTATCAGTCTGACCATGGTGAACGTAGCATAGTCTGATCCTTGGTGCTCAGTGTCGGGTCATTGATGTCTGTCCGCTTCCTCTGGCCTCTCTCACTCCGCTTTGTCTGATATTGTTTCCATTTGTCTCCATCCGTACATACTGTCAAACAAATCATCAAGGTGAACCAATACCCCACTCATCCAGTTTGTCAGTCATTCTCTGATCGTTCACTTTATCACTCTGGCTGCCTCTCTGTCACTTTATCTCAGTTTGTCTTCAACCATTCATCAGCTGGACATTTGGCTTTGCTGTGATTCCACCTAATGTTTTGCTTCTGCAGATCTCTACCTTTTATGTTATTTAGTTTTAGTGTATTTGGGCTCTCTGGTGAAATGCATTTCCTGCTACGTCCACTCGAAAATTTTCTGTTCATACCAAATCAAAGTGTTTTTTTGCTGCTGATCATTTCAATTAAACTTTATTCAAGTTTTGCTAACTTTTATTTTTTAGTTGGTTAGACAGTTTGTTTTCTGCCATACAAGAAACACAATAAGTCTTCTTAGGGTAATAAGACTTATTAGTTTTGCCAAAATTCAGGAAGTTAAAATATCATATTGTAATTAATCAGCAATTTTATATTAACTACAAAAAACCGTGTGCATTCAAAAAACTCAAAAAAACGGTATTGAATATTTAGCTGAGTAATGATATCAAGTTTGAAATTTTACTTCCATGAATGCGTTTTTTTTTTTTTTTTTTTTTTTTTACTGTAGATGGTTGCTTATTTTAGAACAAAGCTAAAACTAGGACTTATGTCAGCCAATCAGAATGCTTCAAAACAACCATGACTGTTTTTCAA